ACTAATAGTTTTTTTTTTCTATACAGTGAAATGGTGGTGAAGCTTTTATGGGCTTCAAAATGTCGGATGACTTTGGTTATTTTGAAATTGGCGATTTTATTTTTTTTGAAGGTGGAACTAGAAAAATATGAACAATACTTTTTTTAGTGGTGAGAATGTTAGCAACGTGTCATTTGACTTGAAGAAGAAAAGATTCCTTTAGACAAGTGCTTTGAGGCATACTAAGACCATGGTTGTGACCATGTGGGCGTTGTAGTTGGGATTTGTGGAGGAAACATAGTTTCTAGTTATAGGGGCATCTAAGATAGGACTAAGTGGTTATTTATCTCGCCGACACCTTGGTTCATTGCTTATCTCTATTTTGAGAAAAGCCACATGCAAGTGCTCTCTATTAACAATGATGTAAACTTTTCTGTTTATTTGACTTGGGAGATTTGTGATCATGAAGCATTAAAGCTTGATTTAGAGTTAAGAATGGAGAGCTCTGTGTTGAAAACGAAAGAGCAATAATGTATATTTGATTGTAAAATCACATTAATTGGTCATTTAAAATATATTAATTTGCTTCCGGATATGGTGCCTACAAAATGGTAGCCTGCCATATATAGTTAAATGATAAGTGGAGCACCATGACATTGGATTTGGATCTGGGCTATGAGTAAAGAGTTGAGTAAAAATGTTAAATATGAGTAAGTTCTGCATGTGAGAAAATAGAGGATAGATCAAATAATAAAAATGGAAACTACTTGTGTTGACAATTGAAATGTAACAAGGAAGAGAGTGACCAATATTTATTTTGTGAAAAATACAATAACATACACTACATTTTCTTCATTCATATGCACATTATCAAACTCGTTTTGTGAACCAATGTATATTTTGAGGAAAAATAGTTAACATTCCTTTGTTTTCTCTTCCATTCCACTTTGACACCATTTTTTTTCTTCTCTTTTTTATCTCTCTTTTATCATATTAATTACTACATAAATTTGCCATTGCAGAACTTTGTGCCATTATATCTGATAAGATTCAGAGGCCCAAGAAGGTGAAGTTGGCTGAGCATGACAAGCTATTGAATAAGTTTAGGCAGGGGAGGCTCTGGTGTCTATGCTGGAAAGTAAGAATCCTGGGAATGTGTTGGCTGTGATGGAGGAATTGGTGGCTAGGAGGAAATTGCTCAAATGTGTGTCCAACTTAGATTTGGAGAAGCTAGAACTACTCTTAATGTTCTTGCATAGGTATTATACTGCTCCTAGATATTCGAGTTTGTTGATGGGATTGACCAAGAAGGTTCTTGAAATGAGGGTTGATGATATTAAAGGTTCTGAAGCCCTCAAGACTCAAGAGTCATGTTAGAAATCTCAAAAGATCTGTTGAGGAGGAGACTTGGGTTCAAATGTCGTTGCAAGAGATACAGGGTATAATTTCTCCTATGTTGAAGATTGATGGAAGATGAAATTTTGGGCTTCTCATCTATGAGCTGCTGTGCTTTTGTTATACCATCCTCTTTTTCTTTTTACATTTTTGTTTAAGAATGTGTTATTTATTTTGGTAATTTGGTTCGAGCAATGTTAATTTCTCCAAAAAGTTAACAACTGTAATACTTGGAAAGCATTGACAATGTTCAAGGGGCTCTACTCACATTTCATTCATGGTCTCATTTAGCGCCTACATTTATATTTATTTTAAATTATTTATCTAATTTTTATTTTTATATATGCCATTTTTTAATTAATTTACTTCTCTAATTTTTATATATTTTTGTGCTAAATTAAATTATATTAATACTTAACTGAAGTTTAATATTTTATGCATATTTTATTAATAAGGTTAACATTAAACAATTTGTATTTTATAGGATGAAGGGAGTGGACATGATGTACCAACACTACAAGGATCGAGGATCTTTATTAGATGGTAATCTTCATGGAGTTAACATTTTTTTTGTTAGACATGATGAACTCATTAATTTGAACCTATGTTTTTACATTTGAAACAAGAGTAATTTTAAGATAATTTACATATTTTTCTTTTGAACATTGATCATGAGTTTGATTTTTTGAGTTACTTAATATGTTGGATATGTTTTAGACTTGATGAATGTTAATATCTTAATAATAAGAAATATAAGTCATGCTAGACCTATGGCTAGATGTTGTGTTAACTTTTTTATGATATTGAAAGTTGTTAATTCAATGTATCTTTATGTAATTATATATATTTGAACAAGAAGCTTAGAAAACACATAAATATTATCAAAATTATAGGTAGAAAATACAAAAATAATCTTTATGTGATAGTTTTTAATTGTTAGAAAAAAAAAATAACCACCACAAATCACACATTATTTGCTAGTGAATATATATTTTATATAAATTTTTAGTAGTATAATAGATATATGTATAATTTTGGTTTCTATTAAAAGTATATATATATATATATATATATATATATAAAGGAGGGATTCGTTTATTCTAGGAGTAAGTCTATCTAGACTTACTCCGTTCAATAACTCATATTCTCACTACTAGAAAAATGTCATTTTTCTGCAAATTTTTCTACAAAAAAAATATTCATAGAAATTTTTTGCAAATTTTCTTGCAATAATAATTTCACAAAAAAATTTATGAATTTATTTGCAAAAAATAATTTATAGATATTTTTTACAAATTTTTTTATAAAAAATAATTTACAGGAAATTTTTGCAAATTTTGCTACAATTTTAATGATCATAAAAAAAATTTCCATGATAAAAATTTGCAAAAAATATTGTAAAAATTTTATTTTATTTCTTGTAAATTTTTTTACAAAAATAAATTTTCAAGTAATATTTACTAAATCGTAAAAAAAAATTGCATGTATACCTAAATAAAGGTGAGGTTGGAGGTTCTAATCCTAAATAAGCTTCTATTTTCACATGTTATTTTGTTAGGCTAACAAGGCTGTGCCTTAGACCACCTTTCCCATTTTCTTTTTTAATGTTTTAATATATTTGTAAAAAAACAAATAGTAATTATTTAATGATAAATTTTTTAAGTTATTTATATTTAAATTTAGTAAAGTTATATAATTTTAAAATATGTACACACAAAAATATTGTATAGATTATGTGAGAAATTAATTTATTACTCATTAAAAATATTAGAAGGAAATTTATTTTACATTTGCTTTAAATTTGAACAAAAAAGTGATATTAAATTTTTTAATTATAAGAAAAATCACAAAGACGTAACAAGGATCAAATTTAGATTTTTTCGCTTCTATCTTAGTCCTTCCTCTCCTTTCTTTCTCAATCACTATATATACTAATTCTAATGGGTAAAAAAGTGATAATAAATTAAATAAAAATATTAAATTTTATAAAAAAAATTAACATGATTAGAAAATGTTTAATGTACATAATAGTAATGAGAGCGAGATCACATAATTTTTTAATTAGTTTCAAATGTTTTATATATGTAAAGTGAATTTGTTTTCTTTTATTAACAACTTATTTTAAAAAAATATATAAAATCACTTTAATTTTTTTTTAATTTAAATATCAATATTTGTGCTTTTTAAAAGACCTAATGTCTTTTAAAAAAATTGTATTAATTCGACATTAGTAGTCTTCATTTATTTTTTTTCCTTCTAAATTGATGTTACTAAACAAATATTAACAAAAGGAATAATATCTTATCAGAAGTATTAAACCATATTAAAAGTCCTTTTAAATACATTTAATGTTTATAAAACATTATTAATAATATATACTTGTGATTGTTGTCATTGTCAAAAGAAGTTTTTTAGAATTAAAATTTTTAGATTTTATTTGATATCAAATGCACTACAAGATAATGATTGAATGAATGACTATAGAATAAGATGTTAAAGTTATATAATTATTAAATTTTAATAACAATTTTAGTGTTCAAAAGGTTAGAAAAATAAAATATAAATTTGTAAATTATATTAGAGTGGTAGTCAAAATATAAAGTTTACTTAATGCTTCAAAAATTGTAAACACGACTTTGTGATCATATCAGTAAAAAAAAATTAAAATTGTATATTGTGATATTTAACGGGGGAAATGCATTTAAACCTTAAATAAAATAAAATAAATAAATATATAATTAAAGTCAAAATGCTTAAATAAAATATATTTAAAAAAAGCCTTTAACTAAAAAATAAACATACAATTCAAGTCAAGTAAATGATACTGAGATAAAATTTCTAAAGAACAAAACTAACTGACTTAAAGAACTATTTTCAAACCTAAAATTTTCCATCTTTACATGAGTTAAAGCTTGAGTTTTAATTTGTTGTAGCTAGTGGCATCATGAAGAAGCTTCTAAAAGGTTCGATGAAATAGGTTGAATTGAAGAAAGCTAAATCACTTGAAAGAAACTTTTATCCGTTAACAGTTTCCCGAATTCGTTTAGCCTTTATCTATGTGTAGGCCAATGCAATATTGACACATGCAACAATTTTCCATATATATCAGCTTCATCTCGCAGTGTATTCACATAAGGCCCTGCACTATAAATGTGGGACCCATTCACTAAGAGGTATTTGGTATATGGTAAAAAAAATGCCTAAAAATTATAATTTATGAAAATCATAAATTCTAAGAATAATATGAATAATTAAAATTTATTTGATAAATTAAAAATATTTTTTAGAATATTTATAAATGTTATTTGAAATAAAAAATATTACAACTTTTCTTTTAATTAAAGAATATTAGTTTCCCGTCTATCAAATAATTTATAAAAAAAATTAACGATCAAAATAATATTTTCTTAATATATTATTATTATTACTATAATTATGATTATGATTATTATCATTATCATTATTATTATATATGGTTGGGTTGATTAAATCACAGGTTGAAAACACAAAATTCATTATTTGATTCATATACAGTCGAGTTTTAATAGAATTAGGTTAGCCAGAGATGTATACTGCTGTGCACCAACATTGTTTACCTTTGATGTCCCAGATCCACTAGGCTTTTCGTTGCTTGCAATCTGTCAGATTATCATTGTCAATTTTGGAAACATACAATACAGTTAGATTTGAAAATTCAATTATCATCACAAAATAATCATATATGTAAGAGGCGACAGCATATTTGAGGCAGCATAGATTTCAATCACAAAGCTTGCATAACAAGGTTTTTAAGGTTACGTAGATCAAAGAACACTCAGTTTAGCACTAAATGCTAATTAACAATTAACAACCTTGTGATAATATGAGATTCAGTCAAAACTCAAAATTAACCTGAAAATTACTACCTGCAACCAAACATCCTAGATATTAATCTATTTGAGGGAGTTGTTAAAGTCAACCATGAAGTTAACAATATTTTCATGCGTTCCCAAAGTGCTGAACATAAATGATTATTTAAATAAAATGGTAAAGTTATTTTACAGGTTGCAATCCTGAATTCCTTGCACAGTTTATACAGCTTACACCACCAATATCTAATAATTCAAGCTGAGACATAGAAGCAATGCATCCACAATGGAGACGCTGCAGATAATAAAACATAAAGATCATTAAGCGAAGCATAAAACATGGAAATACCAAAATTAGGATAAAAAGAGTTATGCCAATCTTATATATACTCTACCAATGTACCAAAAATATGCGTGTGTGTGTGTATATATATATATAATTTTTTTTTTTCTGCATTCTACCTTGTCACATGAAGTGCATTCTCTCCAACCAGAATCATTTGAGTGGAACATATCACAATACGTTGATTGTTCATAAGCAGAACTACAGTAGACAAAAAATCAGGAGTAAGAATCAGAGCATGAATTTGTCTCCGGGTAATGTCCTATTTCAATCAAATAAAGAAGGTTTGCAGACATGTTAATCCAGGTCAACACATAATCTAAAGGACATATGTTGATGACACTGTTTACATCTTATTTGGAATTCAAGTTTGAAAATGAAAATTGCAAGAGCCACTAGTCATCATATTTTTACTCTAGTACTTGCTTGAAAAAAATTTCACGAGACAAATTAGTGGAAGCATATGTATTAATTTAAATAATTTATCGTTATGATGCCATTCCATGTCCCAAACAGAATGATTTTAAGCACCGTTCAAATTTCAATATAGTTTTGACAATAAAATTTCAGGTAGATGAAGCCTTGTTCCGGTGCTTATAACCGTACAAACAGGATAACATATCATGTTTTTCTTTTCTTTTCTTTTCTGTTCCCATTTTTCGGGAAACTTATGCCACCTCGCATTCATTACAAGTAATTCTTTTTAAATTTATTTTAAAAAAAAGGTAAGGAAAATTAATACGGTAAATCATTAATACATGCCATAAATAACTTTTTAAATTGTGATCTCTGGTCAGCAGCCAAAATTCAGCTTTGGCGACCCAATTTTACCTACACGATAAGTTCAACAAGTTACCACATAATTACAAAAAAAGAAGGAAAAAAAAATCATAAAAGCGTGTAAACGCCACTACACTAACTTTAGAAAATCGGGAGAAAAAACAAAAAAAAGTAGCCAGGGGTCAAAACTTAGATTAAGAAAGAATTAAACTGGCAACTTCAAAGTAAATTGTTAAAAGTAAACATAATAAAAATAAAACCCCCCAAAACAACAAACAATTAACTACCACAAAACCACAAATCACAAATTACTCCAAAGTTCTAATTCACAGTTGTGTTCCGTACAACGACGTATCTATATATATATATAATTTATTTTTTCTCTAGCTTATCCTTGCATGTTTTCATCTAGTATGGATTGCGATAATCATACATGGTATAAGAGCAAGGTAGGGATAGAATTGGAGGTTGCAGTGGAGGCCATACAGTGACGTTGAAACTAGGTTTGTATAGAGAACTTAGTTATATATTTATATTTACAGGATTATTGTATGTACAGTAGAAACTCTTTAAATTAATAATGTCAGGACCAAATTTATTAATTTAGAGAGTTATTAATTTATTGATAAATTAATAATTATTAATTTAAAGAGTTTTTAAGTAATTATACTGTACATACCAAATTAAAGGGCAAATTAGTCTATGCCTCTTAGAATTACGTTGCAGCGTACCTTGGGACTCAACATAAATTAGTAACTTCTGAAGTACATATGCGTTGAAAATCAATATGTAATGACTTTTGAAGTACATATGCATTGGAAATCAATAATGACTTTTGAAGTACAGTAAATGTAAACAAGAGGAACAAATGTGTTCAATGTATTCTTGAGCAAGTTTGGCATATATAAATTACATGAATGTGTTAGAGTATTCAAACCATATCTCACAAGATGGCTTCTCATCTAACATTATTTGAAAGCAGAAGATCTTTGATTATTGTCATGTCCTTGGACGAGCTGTGCTTCATCAGGGGCCGCCATCACCATGGTGCTAGAGCTACAACATCTAGTCATCGGGTCAACCTGCTTCTGTGGTGTAGAAGGTGATTTCATTTGTTGCTTGCTTTCATTGCTACTTCAGTTTGTCTAATGATTTTGTGTGTTTGCTTCATACTAAATTGCTCTAGGATACTCACTAGTTTCAGAAATCATACACATGTCTCTATTATCTGTTAATTTTTCCACCAGTAATTTAAGTGTTTGTATTATGTCATTGTAGTTCTGTCTTTTTAGAGATGAAACAGTACCAAAAAGATTAATTTCTCTGGCTGGTGTGGCGAGTGCAATCGCAAGAAAAAGGAAAGGAAACGCACCACAATTGCTGCTACCAGACTGGTAAGTCTTTATGTAATCCAAATGTTTCGTGATTGTGCATAATTTTCTAGGAAGATGTTACAAGTTGTTTGTATAAATACATGCTTATTCACTTGGCTTGCTTCCAACCTTGTGTGATCAGTATAGACATTTCAAATTTCTCCCAGCCTGCTACTAAAGAAATAATATTTTTTTTTGAATTACTTGAAATACAGAGGAACTGTGTAAAACTTGTGTTGAAATATGAGTGTAAAAGAAAAACTGAACAAAAAGTTCAAGAGCCTGCTTCCAATGGTATATATACCAAGTACCAACTCTTTTGAATGAAATCACTCTCTTTTTCTCTACTTTTAATTCAATAACTCTCGATCAATTTGTTTCAGTTATAAAATATAACTAGATTAAAGTATATTATTATAACTCCTTTTGTATTCTTTAATTAAAATTAAAATTTCATTAGTACTACTTACATATTAACAATCAATTCAATCTAACTACCATGGGTTTGGCTTGATTTTTCTAAATTGGATAAAGCTATTTTCCAAGGCTCTGGGAGTTATTGATGGCTTAGGAAGCAAATGGTGGGCAGCATCATTTAAAAATGTAATTTTAAATGTAATTTAAAATTATACCTTGTTCTCTGTTTGGTACATTGAAATTTGGGTATTATGGTTGTAACAAACTTCCAATACAGAATTGTCATATAATTTCTTAACTTACATTAAAAAGGTTAAATAAGTTTCTAGTTATTCAACATTTTAAGAATTCAATTATTATTTCCTTTTAACTTGATTTTAATTTTTTTATTAATATTTTGTTATATAAATTAGTCTTTGAGATTAAATCTTTTTTTAATGATAATGTTTGTTAATATATCATATTATGATTGATTTAATTATTAATACCCATTTTTCTATTTAACATATGTCAAATCTTATAACACATTTTTTTTTCTTTCTCAATAGTTATGACAGTAAAAAAGTTGTTTTAAAAAATGTTTTTTATTTTTAAACAATAATATTTAACTATAAGTAAATAAAAAAATTATATTATGTGGTTTGATGGAATATGTGAGAAAATTAAGAAAAAAAAAAAGAGAAATTTTGTGGCGGTTTAAAACTGCCAGAAATGTAAAATCAAGAAATATTTAGATGAATTTTGTGGCGGTTTGAAACCGCCAGAAAATGACAAACAAGTCAAACAAAAATGCATTTTGTGGCGG